TCTATTTTTGTTCATCGGTATATGTTGTTCATTATATCCCACATATGATATCCCATATGTGATATTTATCTTTCTCTGACTGGCTTATTTCTCTTAGCATAATGCTCTCCAGTTCCATCCATGCTGTTGCAAATGGTAAGAGTTCTTTTTTTACAGCAGCATAGTTTTCCATTGTATAGATGTACCACAGTTTTTTAATCCACTCATCTGCTGATGGTCACTTAGGCTATTTTCAAATCTTAGCTATTGTAAATTGTGAAGCTGTAGTACTACCTCATTATTCCAATAGTAGATAAGAATGCAACACTAAATGGTTATTCAACTTCCAACATTCAAGCACTTTTCTTCAATGTCCTGCTTTCAACTCATTACTCTGGATATGACTATTAATTTATTGGCTATTAATGACCTATGTACCACTGGATACCTATGGCACTAATTCTTTAGTCCAACAATTAGAGTTAAAAAGAAACAGATTTCCAGCTTCCTTCCTTCAACTAGGTGGTCTTGTTTTCTCTACTCAAGTAGTTACAAAAGTACAATTGAAAATCTATAGCAGTAACTCATTATTCCAACAAGAAAAAGAAATTTACAATTAGCAAGGATTGTTTTTTTTCTAGTTTCAAACTTTACTTATTCTACTTATCTCTAGTTATCCATATTTACCTTTATATTTAGTTAACATCTATTATTTATTGTAATATTTTATATTTTTGCAATAAATATTTGCATCATTCTTCCATGAAAATAAATGATTCTAGTGATGAGAAGTATGTGTTTTCCTCTTTAGGGATTAAGTACTTTCCTGATTATGTCTAGTTAAATATTTACCATGGGTTATCTCATTTCAAGAAGAAATACAGGGATACCTCATTTTATTGTGCTTTGCTTTATTGACCTTCACAGATGTGTTTTTTATATATTGAAGGCATGGCCCTCCACCAGCAAAAATTATCATGATTCACTTTATTGTTGTGGTCTGGAACCAAATACTCAATATCTCCAAGGTAAGCCTGTAATAAGTTGCACTTATTGAGAAGAATGTGTTTTCAACATCCTGACTTCAGTTAGTTTCTAGGTTCCCCCCACCCCATTTTTCTCTGTTATCCTCCTGTTGCTTAGGTACCACAAATTATATTACTAGCACGTTATTATGATAAATAAGATGTTGGATTGAGAAAAAATGTATTTTTCAGCTTCCTACCTTCTCCTACTCATTCAGATATCTAGTTATCTCTATATAATCCAGTTATTTACAACATAGGATTATTAAGAGGACTGTGTTAATATAAACAAACCACTTAGACCAGGGGTGGGCAACCTTTTTGTGAGTGCGTGCCAAAACCAGCAAAATCTCTGACTCAAAATTCTTCTGCGTGCCAACCCTAATCTTTTGAGAACATGTTACGCCTATTAACATCTCTTAAGGTGTACGTATGTGAAGAACCTTGAAGAAATAATAAAATTCATTCGCGCGACAAAAACACAGTATATGATGATGAAAAATACATTTATTTTTTAATGTATACATGTACACTGATAGCCCGACAGAAAACTTTATGACTCCGTTTGATATTATCAGTGGGATTTTTGCTGCTGCATCACTGATGACAGAGATTTTACATCAGGTTTATATTTCATGACCTTCAGAGATATGCACGAGCTACTACTTTCGTCCGCCAGGCTACTCCTATTACAAGACTTAACAAAATTCATCACTGAGAACAAAGATTCACAAGCGTAGGTGGATGAAACCAAAACACTGGTCGGATCTAGGAAGGCAGGGAGAATTAAGGCAGAGGCATAGAAATTGCTCTTCCCCTCTCTCGTCAATCCATGTCTATGGTCTTTAAGATAACTTGTTATGTAAAATTATTTATTTATCTAAGATGAACCTACACTGAATTTATCTGAAAAATAAAAAGTCGATATTAAGAAAAAAATTATAAATGGAAGATTATAAGAGAGGGTTTCGCGTGCCAGCAAAAGTTACTGGCGTGCCAAGTTTGGCACGCGTGCCAGGGGTTGCCCACCCCTGACTTAGACTATTGCCTGGAACACAGTGAGAACTAGCAACGTGTGGGTTACTGTTATTATCTCAATTCATTTTCATAACCCCATGAGGTAAATACTATTATGACGGCAAGTTCACAGATGAGGAAACTGAGACACAGGAAGGTAAAGCAACTCACCAGATTAGCCAGCTAGCAAAAGCAAAGCAAAGCTGAGTTGCAGGCGCCCGCAGTGGGACTCCAAGTAGTCTCCTAATTTATCATTTCATCTGAATTACTAGCCCGATTCATGAATTTTGGGGGAGTGTGGGGAGCTGATATAGGGTTAAGCCTCGGACTGAGCTGTGGGCAAAGTCATAAACAATTCCCAGCTTAGAGGGCACAGTCCTCCTAGCATAATTAGGCTTGACCTTACCAGGCTCTCTAGATCTTACTTGGGAAGCTAATGGGCTGAGGGAAGTGCAACAAGAACAAAAACAAGTGAAACTTACAACAGTGTAAACAAGTGAAATTTACAAGAACAAAAACAAGTGAAACTTACAACAGTGTAAACAAGTGAAACTTACAAGAACTGTGTAACTATGGAAACCACTACCTTGTTTACCGCTCACTATAAAATAAAGGCTCAGCTTGCCTTGGGATCTTTTTCTGTGGCCTCAGCCAGGCACAGGAAGATCCACGGAGACTAAGGAAAGCTAGAGAGTTCTGAACGCTGTCTCTGTGTAAAACCTTCTTCGCCGACTCCGTCCACACCTTTGGGAACCCCTGGACCCGCTGGGGCTGGACCCCAGCATTTGGCGCCGCTGGGGCTGGACCCCAGCAGGGGAGAACAGACCAGAACCAGAGAGTCCCATCCATTAGTTAACCGACTCCCGGGAGGGGAGAGTGGTGCTTAGAGCCCACGGGACAAGGTTGAGTGCCATAGCTCCAGGGGCTCAGCGCTTTCTTCAGCCCTGACTCTGACCCAAGGGCAACAAGCCCAGCGCCCACTGGCGGGCATCGAGGGCCAGATGGAGAGGCTTCTCGGGTGCCTGTGTGGTTCGGTGTGCTCAGCCTCTCGCCCCGCCCCAGGTCGGTTTGCACTATTCACCAAAGTTCCTTTCTCAGGACAGTGCCCAAACCCAAATCTAAGTAGTCAGCTAAACTGCAAGTTAGAGCCCTCAAATGCACACTCCTACTCACACCCTTCTGGCAAGCACCCATCCCTGTTACAGCCACGCCCTGGTTGCGTTCGCATCCCAGCAGGTCCCACCAGCGGCAGCACTGCTTGGACCAGGAGCCAGAAAGAGGACCCGAGCCAGGGATCGCCGCAGGCTGGCGTACAGTCGGCGCTCAAGACGTGGAGCCTTCCCGGGTGAGCAGCCTTGAAGACCCCGGTTACGGAAGTCTGGGAGTCGATGAGCTCCGGGAAGAGCTGCATGGACAGTGCCTGGACCGGGACAGTTGCTTTGGTGAACTCCAAAAAACGAACTTTTCCTAGGAAACAAGTAGACCGGCCGCTCTCTTACTCACTTCATTTCTTGGTCCTCACCCATGGCCAATTGTTTTTAGATAGAAAATATCCAACATAGTTATGCAACAGAAATTAATCCATAAATATTGAAAGTAAAACTAAACAAATGAATCTGTGTATTAAATTAGTGGCATAATCACACAGAAACACTTTTATGTCAGTTTGAGATACAGTAATTTCATCATGCATCCCTAGTGGGGGTATGCCCTAAGGATAAAAAAATCGTCAACTCTTTTTAGTAATTGCTGTATTTCATTAGTGGTAATGTTGGTATTTTTACACTGACGCTGCTATATGTGCATTGTGGGATAAAACAAATGAGTAATTGTACTGGGGACATTGAGAGCTGGAATATTTGTGAGGAAAACAAGGAAATACAAATATAAGATTATTGAGGTTAAATAAAATCTCTGTAGTCCTGAGTGGAAGTACAAATGTGAATAATTTATGGTGTATTTTATCTCCAAATAAGATTCTACCTCTCTTCACCAATGGGGGAGGGGGAAGATATCCAATAGTGTGGTCCACTTTTTCCATTTAACATTATGTCCTACATCTTATCTTTAAATTCCAAAAAAGGAGGTTTCCAATAATTAATGGCATTAGCTTTCACAGTCTGATAAGTTATGTCTTAGGAGCAAAGGCCCAGAGGCCATCTAGCTACTAGTAGAATGGATCCAGAATTTCCACAACAAACTCACAGTGTCTTCAAAAATTAAAGTCTGTAGGATTAGTGTTCCAATTTAAAAACAGTGTAAAATGAATAGAAATAATGATAATTGACCATGTATTGCCTACCTAGTATATGATGGGACTAGTTTAAGGGGCCGGACAAGGAGGGGGGGGTACAAATTCCTTTTGCTGGAGTAAATTGGTGGAGATGGATGTCTGGGGGGGAAATATGCAATTTTTCTCTAGGCTGCAAATTTAACTGGAGTGTATCAGGATCGAGTCATTAACATAGTCTATGTTATATAGACTGTGTGCCCTCTAAGCTAATTAGGCGATATGGGGCTTAGGAATCATAGCTAACCACCAATTAAGATAAACCTTACCTATTTTGCTTGTGATTGGAAACAGAAAAGTGCGTGTGTGTGTGTGTGTGTGTGTGTGTGTGTTCGCGCGCGTGCGAGCGCAAGCGCGAGCACGCAGGCGCAAGCGCAGGCGCCTACATACATACATATATACACAAACATGTAAAATTACATGGGTTTGTTGTTCATACGGCCGCTGAGTGAAAAGTGTGCTGTGGCCTGTCGTCTCGTCCTTCTCTTCAGGTATTTCAATTTGAGGATGAAGAAAAGACAAGGTCTCCAGTCCAGTTTAGAATCGAGCAACCTCGCTCGGAACCGGAAGGATGCACGGACCCGGTTTCCCCACCGGCTTCTTTATACCGATACACACACCTCCTCCCGTAGGCAGCGCTAGCTAAGTCCGGGGAAGGTATTTGCTGACGTACCCGGAACTGTTTCCAAGGTTTTCTCAGGTTCTGGTTGTGGCGCGGTGATAGGTTCTGGGACCCAAGACAGCCGTTATCTTCCCAGGTTAGCGAGATAACCCCCTCCCCCCCGGCCTCGGGGACCCAGCGGCAGTGATGTCTCCGGTGTCTGGTTCGCGCAGCCCGGAGAGGGAAGCCTCGGGCTCCAGGGTGAAACGCCGCAGTTCGTCGAGGAGCCCTAAACCCAGCAAATCTGCCCGCTCCCCGCGGGGCCGCCGCTCTCGCTCGCACTCTTGCTCTCGGTCTGGGGATCGGAATGGCCTCAGCCATCAGACAAGTGGCCTCAGCCAAGGCTCCCGAAACCAGCCCTACCGCTCCCGCTCGCGGTCACGCTCTCGAGAGCGGCCTTCTGTGACGCGGGGCACCCCCTTCGCTTCTGCCACCTCGTCTGCCTATTATGGGCGGCTACTCACGCCCCTACGGGGAGCGACAAGCCTTGCCCTAGCCTTCTCGACAAGGAGAGGGAGGAAAGCCTGCCGGCAGAAGTGAGTGAGACGGACACACCCTCTCTTGCCCCCACCTCCCTTCCTAGTCGATTTATAGTTCATCTCTACTGACTATTTGCATTTCGCTCTTTCTGCCTCCTTGCGCCCATTTTCATCCCTTCAGTCCACCCACGACAACACCTTATTCGCTCTTTTCTTCCCTTAGGTTTTCACTCATCCTCAGGTCCCTTTATACAGTGCCCTGGTCTCCCGCCACTCCCTCTGCCTCCTGACATGTAGCGGACATGGCCAGGAGCCTCAGAACTACTGGAATTATATAGCATTTACTTGGTTGCGTGGTTATCATTCATGAGCATGTTTTTATTTCCCAGTAGACTGACCTCTTGGAAAGGAGAAGCCCTATTTTATTGATTACAAAATTTGCAGTACTTTGTAGAAACGCAACCATTGCTTGTTGAATGATCAGACAGGTTTAAGATGATAACGGGATATGTAAGTGGAAATGTTTTATAGCGAGTTGGGAAGGATTGAGATTAAGGGTTTAAATTGAAGAGGAGAAAAACTTCTGAGACAAGACAATTAAATGAATGTAGAAAAAGTAACCTGCTAAACTGTAGATTAGGCTACGTTGAGAAAGGTCTTGTTAAGTGTTCTCAATCTTGACCATGAAAAGTAAGGTCAGGGTGAGATCAGGTCTCTAATGAGAGTGAGTATTAGAGTGGGGAAAAATGGTAGTTTAAAAAGTAGAAAGAAAAGGGGTTATAATTATTACTAAGCCTTAATATCAAATGCTTACTGAGTGTTAAAAACTACGTGTCAGGCACTTTTAAAGTATTAAAGTCATTGAGGTTAAGGTTATAAAAGCTGGGAGATGTCCCCATGAATTGTTTTCTTCCAGGAGTGGGAAGTCCGTAAAGCACAGGCTCCAGGATCAGACTGCCTGAATTTGAAGCACTTCTTTGCTACTTAATAGTTGTGTGACCTTGGGCAAGTTACTTAACTTCTATGAGCTTCATTTCTTCACTGTTTAAAAGGCATAAAATTAGCACAGTTGCTTTTAGAGTTGTAATGATTTAGTGCTCAGAACATAATAATAGTTCTTAAGTGTTAGATATTAGGTTTTCCTGCATGGGAACAGAAAGAGTAAAAATGGTCCTGAGTTAGGTTGGAGACCTCCTCTCCAAATTAAGTTTTTCAAAAAGTGATCCTAAGGTTGCATCAATCAAAAAGCAACCAGCTTCTTACTAGACAATCCTCCCAAAAATATTTTGGAACTCCTTGTATGAAATTTGCCTTTGTACATTTAGAAGACAAATAATTTATCTTAAGAGAACAGATGGCAGCAGGGGTGAGAATTTAACTGCTTGCTCTTTACAGCCTATCAGGCATTCTTCCCCCCCTCCCCCTCCCCCATTGCATTATATCCCAAGTTCAGTTATAAGTATGTTCCTTTTTAGACTGTCTGTTTCTTCAAGTAGGAAACCTGACTCTGACTGCATGATTATAATGTCTCTTTCCTTGAATAAAGAAGTAAAAAATAGTTTATTTAAACAATCAAATGAATTATATTTATATTGTAAGGTGGGTTTTTTTTTAATGGAGTCACAAGCAGCTAAACTTTGAGGAACTGAGCCTTATTTTTTAATTTTATTTTTAAATATATTTTTATTGATTTCAGAAAGGAAGGGAGAGGAAGAGAGAGAGAGAGAGAGCAAGGAACATCAGTGATGAGATAGAATCATTGATTGGCTGCCTCCTGCACACTCCCTACTGGGATCAGGCCTGCAACCCAGGCATGTACCCTGACCAGAAACGGAATCATGACCTCCTGGTTCATAGGTCGACGCTCAACCACTGAACCACGCCAATTGGGAGAGCCTTAGTTTTTTTGTATTTTGTTTGCTTGTTTATGAGTAATAACAAAAATTAAGAGAAGAAATCACAAACATAAAACAAAAAAATGTGTGGCCTCCAAGAGTAGATAGATTTGTACTTCTTTTCAAAAAAAAAAACTAAAAGGAAACCAGAAAGAAAACAAACCCTGTATCTCATTGAGTACAGTTTTTCTCCACTAAAACTTTTGTTTTCAGAGCTTCCTTTATTTTCTACTTCTAATGCTTCATTTTTATTTTCTTCATTAATTCTTGACTTTCAGCAAATGGAAGGTTTGACCAAACAAAAACAAAAACTCTTTATTTTCATAAATGTGTGTAAACAAATGAAGTATTTCCAAATGTAAAACTGTTTCTGTCATATACTAGTACGTATTGCAGAAGATAAAATGAGCAATTGGAAGCTATGCCATGTTTGCAGCAGAAAGGATGCACTTGATAGGCTCCCAGGCTGTATTTCTGGCCCAGCCTCTCATTTGAAAGTACTATCAAAACATCAGATCGTAATTGTTGAGTTTATATTTAAACCAAGTTTTTGTTAATTTAAAGTTTAAAATGAAAAGGGAAAATAGGACTCAACTGGACTCCTTGGAATTTGATTATATATTTAGGAAATATTATTTATTTATGGAGTTGTAATTTACATGCCTGTATCTTCTAGGAGATTAAGTGAAAGAGAGAGGATTGGAGAATTGGGAGCTCCTGAAGTATGGGGACTTTCTCCAAAGAATCCAGAACCAGAGTAAGTGATTTAAAAATCTTTTTTTTTTAATTTATCATTTGTTTAAATCCAGTCTGTTGTCAAATTTTTTGTTAAGTGAAGAACTTGAAGTACAGCTCACATTTTTCTCCTTTCATGTGATTTATGCTCTTCTACCCCTTAAGTTTTAAAACATTGAACATACCTAAAGATTAAAATATGTTGAGAGTGCATTGGCATGCCGATAAGTTTTTTTAAATTGTTATTCACGGGTTGCTAATTTCCTAATCATAGAAGGGTTCAGTGTTAAAACAAATACATTTATATTATTTCTTTTTTAATTTAAAATTGTTATTGTTGAAAGTATTACATACAAGAGCTTTGGTTGATCTCTTACCTACCACCCCTCCCACCCTCCCCTGCCTTTCCTCCGAGGCTCGACAGTCTGTCCGATGCTTCTATATCTCTGGATCTATTTTAGTTCATCAGTTTATGTTGTTCATTATATTCCACAAATGAGTGAGACTATGTGATATTTATCTTTCTCCAACTGGGTTATTTCGCTTAGCATAAATGCTCTCCCGATCCATCCATGCTGTTGCAAATGGTAAGAGTTCTTTTTTTTTTTCAACAGCATAGTATTCCATTGCATAGATGTACCACAGTTTTATTTTTTTTCTTTATTGATTAAGGTATTACATATATGTCCTTATCCCCCAGTTGCCTCCCCAACCCCACCCCCCCACTCATGCCCTCACCCCCCTGGTGTCTGTGCCCATTGGTTAGGCTTATATGCATGCATACAAGTCCTTTGGTTGATCTCTTCCTCTTACTCCCACCCTAGTTTCATTTTTTCACATGTATCTGTTCAATTTTCCCAACATCATTTATTGAAGAGACTGTCTTGACTCTATTGTATGTTCTTGCCTCCTTTGTCAAATATTAATTGAGCACAATGACTTGGGTCAATTTCTGAGTTCTCTGTTCTGTTCCATTGGTCTATATGTCTGTGCCAGCACCAGGCAGTTTTGAGAAGAGTGGTTTTGTAATATAGCTTGATATCTGGTATTGTGATCCCTCCAACTTTGTTGTTCTTTTTCCGGATTGCTGTGACTATTTGAGGTCTTTTTTTATTCCAGGTGAATTTTTGGAGAGTTTGTTCTAGGTCTGTGAAATATGCCGTTGGTATTTTAATGGAGATTGTATTGAATCTATAAATTGCTTTGGGTAGTATGGACATTTTAATGATGTTGATTCTACCAATCCATGAACACGGTATGTTCTTTCATTGGTTATGTCTTCTTCTATCTCTTTATTCAGTATCCTATAGTTTTCTGAGTACAGGTCTTTTACATCCTTAGTTAAGTTTATTCCTAGGTCTCTTAATTTTTTGGTGGAATGGTAAATGGGATTGTTGTTTTTTTAGTTTCTCTTTCTGTGAGTTCATTATTGATGTACATAAAAATGCCATAGATTTCTGGGCATTAATTTTGTATCCTGCTACATTGCCAAATGCACTTATTAAGTCTCGTAGTTTTTTGATGGAGCCTTTCAGGTTTTCTATGTACAACATGTCATCTGCACATAATAATATTGTACCATCCTTGCATCCCCGGTATAAATCCCACTTGGTCATGGTTTATGATCCTTCTAATGTAATGCTGGATCAGATTTGCCAGAATTTTGTTGAGGATTTTAGCATGTACTAGTATGTTCATCAGGGATATTGGTCTGTAGTTCTCTTTCTTTGTGGTGTCTTTATCTGGTTTTGGAATTACGATAATGCTGGCTTCATAGAAAGAGCTTGGAAGTGTGCCTTCCTCCTGAATTTTTTGGAATAGTCTGAGGAGAGTAGGTTTTAGTTCTTCTTTGAATGTTTGGTAGAACTCCCCTGAAAAGCCATCTGGACCAGGGATTTTGTTTGCTGGAAGTTTTTCAATTACTGCTTCAATTTCATCGGTAGTTATTGGCCTATTCAGGTTTTTTTATTCTTCCTGATTGAGTTTTGGGAGCTTGTATTTTTCTAAGAATATGTCCATTTCGTCTAGATTGTCCAGTGTGTTGAAGTAGTGTTTTTTTTTTGTTTTTGTTTTTTAAATATATTTTATTGATTTTTTTACAGAGAGGAAGGGAGAGGAACAGAGAGTTAGAAACATCGATGAGAGAGAAACATCGATCAGCTGCCTCCTGCACACCTCCTACTGGAGATGTGCCCGCAACCAAGGTACATGCCCCTGACCGGAATCGAACCTGGGACCCTTCAGTCCGCAGGCCGACGCTCTATCCACTGAGCCAAACCGGTTACGGCGAAGTAGTGTTTTTTTACAATCCCTTTTATTTCTGTTGGGTCTATTGTTACTTCACCTCTTTCATTTCTGATTTTGTTTATTTGGGTCCTCTCTCTTTATTTCTTGGTGAGCCTGGCTAGAGGTTCATCAATCTTGTTTATCCTTTCAAAGAACCAGCTCTTGGTTTTATTGATCTTTTGTATTGGTTGTTTTTGTTTTTTTTTTGGTCTCTATGTCATTTATTTCTGCTATGATCTTTACTATTTCCTTCCTTCTGCTTATGCTGGGCTTTTGTTGCTCTCTTTCTAACTCTTTGAATTGTAGGGTTAGGTAATTTATTACCATTTTTTCTTGTTTTTAGAGCTATGAACTTCCCTCTCAGGACTGCTTTCACTGTGTCCCATAGATTTTGGATTGTTGTGTTTTCATTGTCGTTTGTTACCAGGATGCTTTTTATGTCTTCTTTGATCTCTTTGGTAACCCGTTCATTTTTCAATAGAATGCTATTTAGCCTCCAGGTGTTTGATTTTTTTCATTGTTTTTATTGTAGTTGATTTCTAATTTTATGCCATTGTGATCTGAGAAGATGCTTGATAGGATTTCTATCTTCTTGAATTTGAAGACATTTTGCCTGTCTCCCAATATGTGGTCTATCTTTGAAAATGTCCCGTGTACACTTGAGAAGAATGTATATTCTGTAGCTTTGGGGTGAAATGTTCTGAAGATGTCAATTAATTCCATCTGATCTAGTGAGTAGTTTAGGATTTCTGCTCCTGTGCTGAGTTTTTTGTTTAGAGGATTTATCCAGTGGTGTCAATGGGGTATTAAAGTCCCCTACTATGACTGTATTGCTGTCAATCTCTCCCTTGATATCTTCCAGAAGTTTTTTTATGTATGTTAGTGCTCCTGTATCATATGCATATATGTTTACCAAAGTTATATCCTCTTGTTGAATTGCTCCCTTTAGTATTATGAAGTGGCCTTCCTTATCTCTTGTTATGACCTTCACTTTGAGGTCTATTTTGTCAGATAGGAGTATTGCGATTCCCGTGGTGTTTTTTTTTTTTTTTTTTCATTTTAATTCACCTGAAAAAATTTTTTTCCATCCCTTCACTATGAGTCTGTGTGAGTCCTTTGTTCTGAGGTGGGTCTCTTGTAGACAACAGATATATGGGTCATGTTTTCTTATCCATTCAGCTACCCTATGTCTTTTTATTGGAGCATTTAATCCATTTATGTTTAAGGTTATTAGTGATAGGTACTTGTTTGTCGCCATTTTGATTCTTTATGCTTGTGTTCCTTCTTACCTTTCTAGTTCTTCTTTTTACAGCAGTGTCTAGCATTTCTTGCATTGCTGGCTTGGTGATAATAACCTCCTTAGCCTTTTTAGGTCTGTGAAGCTCCTGATTTCACCTTCAATTTTGAATGATAGCCTTACTGGGTTTAATATTCTTGGATTCAGTCCCTTGCTTTGCATGACTTTGTATACTTCATTCCATTCCCTTCTGGCCTGATGTGTTTCTGTTGAAAAATCAGTTGATAGTCTAATTAGAGATCCCTTGTAGGTAACTTTCTGTCTCTCTCTCTGGCAGCCTTTAGGATTCTTACTTTGGCCCTAGTTGGTTTGGCTCAGTGGATAAAGCGTCTGCCTGTGGACTGAAGGGTCCCAGGTTTGATTCCAGTCAAGGGCACATGCCCAGATTGCAGGCTTGATCCCCAGTTGGGGGCATGCAGGAGGCAGTCTATCTCTCATTGTTGATGTTTCTATCTCTCCCTATCCCTTCCTCTCTAAAATCAATAAAAATATATATTTTTTTAAAAGATTCTTACTTTGTTGTTGATGTTTGCCAATTTTATTACAGTGTGTCATGGTGTCAGTCTTTTTCGGTTCATCTTGTTTGCGACTCTGTGTGCTTCTTGGACTTATGTGACTTTTTTCTTCCCAAAGTCAGGGAAATTTTCTGTCATTATTTCTTCAAACAGGTTTTCTAGTCCTTGCTCAGCTTCCTTTCCTTCTGGTACCCCTATTATGCAGAAGTTTATTTTATTTCATATTGTCCCAAAACTCCCTAAGGCTCTCCTCCTGCTTTTTAAGTGTTTTTTCCAGTTGCTTCTTTGCTTGGGTGTTTTTCTACCTTGTCTTCTAACTCGACAATGCGGTCCTCAGCTTCTTCTAGTCTCCTGTAGAAACCTTCCGTTGTGTTCTTTAATGCAGCTATGCCATTTTCATTTCTTCTTGATTGTTACATGTGTTGGTGAATTTGTCATCCAGCCTTTTCAGCATCCTTATAACCATTGCTCTTAATTCGTTCTGACAAATTGCTTGCCTCCATCTCGTTTATTCCCTTTTCTGATGGTTCCACATATGAGTGAGATCATGTGATTCCTGTCTTTCTCTGACTGACTTATTTCACTTACATGATACGCTCCAGGTCTTTCAATGCTGTCTCAAAGGGTAAGAGATCTTTCTTTTTTTACTGCTGCATAGTATTCCATGGTATAAATGTACCACAGCTTTTTTGTCTACTCATCTACTGATGGGCACTTGGGCTGTTTCCATATCTCAGCTATTGTAAATTGTGCTGCTATGAACATAGGGGTGCATACATTCTTTCTAATTGGTGTTTCAGGTTTCTTAGGGTATATTCCTAGAAGTGAGATCACTGGGTCAAATGGTTCCATATCTAATTTTTTGAGGAAACTCCATACTATTTTCCATAATGGCTGCACCAGTCTGCATTCCCACTAACAGTG